TGAGATTAGGTTGCGCGGTTATCCTTATTGCAACTAGACTAAATTAATATGGTCGCACTGGAGGCACATTTCAGAATTTCTGCTGACATTGCAGGGAATCGACTTTAAATGCACTACAAGCCAACACATGTAATCAAACTCTGCGAACGATTGTTGTTGTCTGTGGTTATTCCCTTAGCAGTGCTGCATTGTTTGTCTTTCTGCTCACCACAGACTTCAACAATAAATTACAGAGCAAAGACAGGGAGTCGTTAACATTGTCTGTGACTTGTCTCAAAAGTACTCCACAGGCTCCTCTAACGTTTAATCTGTCCTCTCTATCTCCCTCTTTTGTGCTTTGTCCTTTTGATGAAAACTGACGGGTGAAGCATGCATCTTCATACAACTCACTGTTATCCCCACCAAACGGTTACTTAGGAGTTGGCGCAGGCAGGACCTAGTCAGAGACTTTCAGCCCATACTACGTCAGTACTCTCTACAACTTTTCTACTCACATTGTTTTAAGCACTTTCTTAAGAATTTAAAGCTCTTTTAAAGAGACTCATCTGTACACACAGGTGCGCTTGTACTGTACTGAGAGCAAAAAAGGAGGACAAACAATTACAACTTCTGCCACTAATTGTCAGAAGCCATCTCCTCCCCTACCCACTCCCCTCTCTGGTCCCCAATTAAGACGAGAAGCTGACCCCCTTGCTCCCTTTACTAATCTTCCCCCCATTATCCCCCTAATTACTACTGATTGGTTGCTTGAAATTTAGTTAACCCTTGCCTCCCTTATATTGTTGTACTGCCTGGTGATGAATTAATCGAAAATGTTCGTTCGCTTAACTTACCTTCCTGAATTACAACTTCTATCACAAAATAAAAACCTTGCAGGGTTTAATTGAAACTTTGTTGGGCATTCAGCTCCCGTCTAGCTGATGCTTTCTACCTTTGATTGTCCGGCTACACAGGCGTGCGGAATACCCGGATTTACATTTTTCGTACATAATTAAAACAGTTGCAGAAGATCGGGGAAGCAACTTATCAGAACGCGTCCTATAAAAACGAGATTACTGCCTGCCTAATAAGATGTAATCAATTTTCATCCAAAATGGCAGACGAGAACGTTTATTGGAGTGAGCAATTATCCGACAGATAGATAGAGACAGAGGGAGAGGGAGAGAGAACGCGCGCAGGAAGTAAATATTCCCCAATTTAGGTCGTATAAAAATGTTAT